CCAAAAATGACCTATTTTGCATTCTTCATTAATAATGCATATCTTTTGAAAAGGTGTGAAAATGACCCAAAATCCATCAAAACCATGGGCTATAGTCCATGCCTTTTGCCCAAAAACGGCCAAAAATGACCTATTTTGCATTCTTCATTAATAATACATATCTTTTGAAAAGGTGTGAAAATGACCCAAAATCCATCAAAACCATGGGCTATAGTCCATGCCTTTTGCCCAAAAACGGCAAAAAATGACCTATTTTGCATTCTTCATTAATAATGCATACCTTTTGAAAAGGTGTGAAAATGACCCAAAATCCATCAAAACCATGGGCTATTTTTAACAAACAACTACGCTATGAAACTTTGTCACGCGGCAAACATTTTGTCTCGAACAATAGATTTTTCCCCCGTTGCCTCGCATTCAAGCGTTTCAAGACGAGGTTGCACTGTGTTAAACAAGGGTTTTATTCTTTTTGGAATAAATATGGTGCCGTGTGCTCAAAGGACATAGGATTCTCTCAATTACGATTCTTCAAAGTACGATGATCGATTATAGACAACTTGCACCGTATGAAATTAGCAATAGTCCCTTCCATCTTGAAAGGTAGCCGTGTTTTGGCATCGAAGCGAGACGAACGGTGAGCTTGCAATGATAGAGACCATTATTAAGACCTTGAATGATTATTGCCATGTCTCTATCATTGCATGCTCTCCGTTCGTCTCGCTTTGATGCAAAGGCACGGCTACCTTTCAAGATGGTGCAGGGAAATTTGTAGGGGACTATTTTGAAAAGAAAATAATATTTTTCTTCGTGAATTAAATCTCACAAGTGAACTATTAAAGAAAAAGAAAAATGTTGCATCCCATATCAAATTTTTGTAGGTCATCCCATTATGGGCCAGTTAAAGGTATGAACGCTTTAGGCAATAATATGTTTTTCTTTTGATCCGTTATCTTGGTCTTGTTTGGCGTCGAAACCATCATTGACAGCTGGCAAAACTTGATTACTGTTCTTTATTTTGTAGCTGTCCCTGTGAATAAAATGAAATCATATTAAACTTAATTATCAAACTTGATTGCTAGTATATTGAAGTTTTGCACCATCAAGTACCCACGCCAATGTTACAGCCTGGGCTGCCTGTGGTTAGATGGCAGAACAATAAGATCCCTTTGCTCTTGGGAATTGAATTCGTTCGTATGTATGAATATTGTTCCTGCCATCTAACATGGCTGCCATCACGAGGTGATACAAAACCTCTATTCAGGAGTTGGACTTTAAGACCATGTGTCATTCCCTTGAGTATCATTTCTTTCATTAACGGTGCGAATACACATGGAAATGGATACTTTCAAACAAAGAATCTTTTCAAGAGAATGACACGTGGCCTGAAATAGAAAATACATCAAACCCAAGGTAACGAGGTGTATTGTGGGAGGAGCCAGGTTGGAGAAATGGAATTGAAACAGGTGAAAAATGAATTATAGATGGGTGAGTAAAAGGGCGGCGTAGAAGAAGGAACGGGATGCCTGAGAAAAATCACTGTCTGGAGGCATAACACTAATGTGCTAACAAATCACTCATGATTGTAAGCTGCACGGCTGTTAATAGCGCCTTAATATGCAGCCCGTAAAGTCCTCCACTGGTCATTCATGTAAAGCGCATCGAGACGTTGTATAAATGCGCTATATAAGAACCACCCATTATTATTATCATAAGGCAAACATAAACATATTTTTACAACCACAACTCGCCGTACGGTCCTCTTCCGTGAGGTTCCCTCCACACGCACTATCACTACATTCTATATTACATTTAATATTCAACTCATCTGAGCCGGGGCTCGAACCCGGACACAGCGGTGAGAGGCGAGCGGTAAACCACTACACCACCCATGCCACCCAAACGAGGCAAGATATTAACTTTATTGATATGAAATATCACAGAAATATTACAGAAGTTTTGGCATGCCAAAATTTATAAATTTTTGCACTAAATTTTGATGATTTTAGCGTTACTTACATGCGGAATTCTTTTTCCTTGACGGGCGAATCTAAAGGAAAAATAAAGATAATTAAGGATAAGTCGAGACGCTGACCCCCCCCCCCCCCCCCCCCCCCCCCCCCCCCCTCTTTGACCACTGCGCCTTTGTTGGGCTGCCTGTGCTCGCGGAAATGAGGCCCATATCACCCTGAAGCGCTTGAATGCGATGGCACGCGGGGAAAATCTGTTTTTCCCATCAAAATAGCTGACGCGTGAGACAGGGTATATTTAACAAATTTCCGATTTTTTGTTTTTGTTTTTTTGTTTTTGTTTTTGCTTGTGAGGTGTTACGATCTTTTGCCGGACGTTTCGTTAACGAAAGGAAGCGAAATGGTTTTGCGAAATAGTTTTGCTAAACGCTCCAAACCATTTTCAAAAACCATTTTGCAAAACCATTTTGCATCCTTTCATCTCGCAAAAGATCATAAGCCGTGCGCTACAATTCGTAATTTGTTGACGTAATTTATTGGCATATCCTCTTACTTACAACGGCTCTCGACCAATCAGAAAGCGAACAAATTTACATTTACCTGTGGTGTATCCTTTATTCTTGTTAGACAAATAACAAAAATGAGCAATGAGGTAGATATTGACGGCAACAATCAGGATCACGACGATGATGATAATGATTCCGGCTGCAAGGCCCAAACCTGGCAAATACAAGAATTCTAAAATATACTAAATGCAAAAAAATTGGAAAATCGTTAATCGCCATGGTAAGACAGCAAGTTAACCCGGAGAGAAAGACCTAGATTCACTAAATGCAAAATGAAAAAATGGCGTAAGACGTTGCTATGACGACATCAGAACATTTCATTTCATAAAATTCATAATCTGAACTCATTAACCAAACAGTGAATGTATTTTTAAAAACTGGTATAGTTAAATTTCGTATCGTAATCTTCCATTTGACGCGGAAAACAATGTGTGAGGGAATCCACAAAAATAATTCTTTTTCTTTTTTTTTTTTTTTTTTTTTTGATACTTCTCTCTAATTTTTTTCCTAGGTTTTCGGAAACATAAACCAAAGCCTTGTGCAAAATTTAAAGAAATTTCGACGCACATTTTTTGAGGTATTTTAGTTGTAATATCGAAAAAATGTAATAGAAAATGAGCAAAATTAGTATTCAACGTTTCGGCATCAGGCGACAAGATCAAGATCGTTCACCGTTTTATCGTTCATATTCCTACTACGATATTTTTCTCAATCCGTTATGAAAATTCTGGGGACAAAATTTCCCTTGCATGTTCAGGCAAAACTGTTTCAAGTCTCCTTTTTAAAAAAACATAGATGAAAAGATCTAATCCACCGTTTTCTTCCTGTAGACCCCTTGCACGTGACGTCAAAGCAGCTCCATCGCGGGAACAAAACAAAAGAAGTCCAATCTCCTGTGAATTGGAATCTTTTGTTTTGTTCCCCAAATTAAGCTGCATTCCAAATTGCTGCAAGGGGTCTGAACAGACTCAGTTACTCAGGATTAGCCTCATTACAGAGTCAAAATATTCACAGATGCCAACGGTAAAGAAAAGAATGGTGGACAATTTCAATAATACAAACACTTTAGGATGCTGCGGACTTTCACTAGAACACGTGAATATTCTACACAAAATCAAGGCAAACCCTGAGTAACAGAGAACTTGGAGCGGGAGTACTAGCCTTCCACGCAGCTGTATTAAGAGTCGTCACGCAACGTTCCCTTTCGCGTTGCGTGACGGCTTTGTAAACGGCTGTGTGTGGAAGATAGATATCACTGAAGTATTCTGATACATCGAAAAAGCATGATACACACTGATGTTTAAAGGTTGTAATGAGAACCCTTTGCTTACCATTTTCACAATGACCTCCATATCTGAACAGCTTGCATTCACATTTGTATCCATCACCTTGGGTGATGCACTTCCCGTCGAACAAGCAAGGTTTACTTTCACACATGTTATCTGAAGTATAAAGAGAAAGGAAGAAATGTGAGGTACGAAGGTACGAAGGTACGAAGGTACGAAGGTACGAAGGTACGAAGGTACGAAGGTACGAAGGTACGAAGGTACGAAGGTACGAAGGTACGAAGGAGGTTTAATTTTTTACCTTTAACCGAAGCTTGAAATGCTGCTGAGGCGTTGAACTTCAAGGATCCAAGTGTATTATTGGCCGATGCCTTATACAAGCCACCTTCAACTTCGCTCTGGGTTTTCGTCTCATTAAACTCCAGGTCCGTCTCAGTAATGACACTGCCCTTGCTATAACACAAAGAACAAAATCAAAAGCAGTTCAAAACCACTACAACAAACAGCTATATAACTTTCTTACATCCTATGGGTAAAGGTGATCGATGTTCCGTCTTAATTATTCTCTTGAGCTATTAATATCAATCGATGCCATTCCCCTCATTATTCTAGCAAAGTTTGATTTGCCCCCTTGGACACCCGATAATGCTTTGTGATCCAAGATGGCCACCTTATCATCGAAGTAGTCCATTGCGGTGCTCCGTAAGAAATCCAAAGGGTCTACACTTTACGTATTCTCTGTATCAAGGCAATGCTCTAATTTMAGAGAAATTACCTTGCTTTAGTCAGTTTGCAACTGATTAATGTCCTAAAGAACAATTTCTCGATCTATAGAGAAAAAATGAAAATATCAGAAATGAAAATGGACGGACGGACGGACGGACGGACGGACGGACGGATGGATGGATGGATGGATGGATGGATGGA